CCGTCGCTGCTGTGGCGTCCCGCGGGCCCACGACCCCCCGGGTGACGCCCCAGACGACCACCAAGCCCACGTCCACGAAGTGGTCGCGGGGGCTTGTCTCCAGCCACCGCCACCATGACCGGTGTGGTGCTGCTGCCCTTCAATCCTCACCCATCGGCCGCCACCGCGGCCGGGCCCCGGCGGCGGTCTACCCCCTGGCTGGCTACCGCCGCCACCGCGGCTGCCGCCCCCCGAGCGGCGTTCCTCGGCGCCTTCTCTCGAACGCGAGCGCCGCGGTTACCGCTAGAAACGGCACTGCTCGTTGTGGTGTGAAGCTTGGACTGGTGGTAGCGGCAAAATCCGTAGGGGTCGTCGTTGGACACATCACCGTTTTTATTCTCTCCGTCTCTATCTTGGCCGTCAGCTGCTGCGTGACCGCCTTCTTGACCCCCGGATGCCCCCCCGCTGCCCCCGCCGCGCCGGCCCATGCCGGACGCAGCGAGAGCGAGCTCCACCTCGCGCCTCTCCCCCTTGCTCCTCTCGCGCTCCATCTCCCCGTGGGGCGTCCCTCACCACAGTCTCGAGGGTACGGAACGTCAGGACATCGTGGGCAAGCAGTATTCCTTTTTGCACGACCTACGAAGAGGGAAGGCCACGAGCAATGTCTTTGTTGGCATCTGTTTCATCCTTAATCATGCCTACAGACGCTAGACGCAAGCGAAGGGCTTCTGCCCGGGCAATATAGTCCTGTGGACTCTCAGACGCTTTCATCTCAACTCCTTCCAGTCCTGCTCCAACCTCAACTTTTCTGACTGCTTCTTCTCCTGTTAGAACTCTGTCACTATTTTCCAGCCTTTTTGTGGACTCTCACACGCCAGAATCAAGCTCTGAATCGGGGGGTACAAAACCATGCTGATGAGAATATTCCATAGCTTGAAAGACTTGTCTACCACATCATTGCCAAAAGGTCTCCGGAGCTCTGCTATATTGACACCCCTCCTTCCGACCTTGACCTCGACCTCCAGTTCCGACGCATCATGCACACCCTCCTCCTGAAAATCTGAAATAATCTTACTACGAAAAATATCAAACATAATATACAAGTCCTGCTCATTCTTCACGCTACCAAGCCAAGGTTCTATTTCTGAGCCAGGATTGACACGTAACGTGCCTGAGCGGGCAAAGCCCTGTTGTTCAGCAATGGCCTCAGTTGTCGCCTTAGCCGCTTGCGCCACGATGTGTGCGACGCTGCTGAGGTCGTTGAAGGTGGCTGGTTTGCCTTGGCTGGAGGGTGATGGGTGGTTGCCAGTAGGTGGGACTGGGTTGCCGGCTGATGGTGGTTGTGCGAAGGTGACTTCACCCTCGTTGATCCTGTTGGCATCAAGTTCGGCTTGTACTCGTTGCTGGACGATCTCCTCCACTTTTTGTTGTAGTTCTTCCCCGCTAAGGGCGGAGAGGTCGATGCCCTCCATGGTGTATGTCGTTGTGGGAGTCTACCGATTGCGCGTGATTGCACAACCCCCGGAAGGCTACGCCCGCGCGCAGATACCGTGATATCGGCACACTAGTGTGAAAGGTAAACTACGCGGGGTGTAGCAAGCCCGTCCTGGGCGTTACTTGGGGCACTGGGTAGGCGGCCGTGTTAGGCCGAGAGTGAGAGATTGAGAGAGAGGTGGAGAGAGAGTGGGAGAAGGAAACTTGATTGGAGATAGACGGCGGCAGCGGTGGAAGGAGAGAAGGAAGAAAGAAGTGCGCAACACGCACGCAAGCCTCATCGTTCCAACCGCGCCAAAAGGGTCCCCGTAACTGCACCGATGGTACCCTACAGCACACGACATTCCCAACACGTATCACCTTGGGATCCTCACGACCAGATACTGCTGCGAGTATATCTAACAGGCCGAATATCTGCCACCTCCTGACGACGCCCTTTGATTTAATGGAAGTTCCTCTGTTTGGGAAGAAGTCCCCGGAGGACTTTTTTTTATCAAAATCAAAATCAAAGAGGCAAGGAGTTCAAGACTTCGAAGGCTTGGAGCACCTGCCGCGAGGCCGCTGCAAAGCAAGTACACGACACGACTTGCTATACACTGCCGATAAAAGGGCTATATGCACCCTTCCACCGACACCATGGCCGTTATTTGTAGCCAGAAGACCCTGCTAGCCGGAGAGCCAAAAACCGGGCCGGCTCGTTAGGTGCTTGAGGAAAAAATGCCGATCGTGACGAGCGGTGAACGTACTTTCGATCGGAACAGGGCTGCGCAGCTTTTTCGGGCTGTTCCGTGCGGGAGAAGGTAGTTGCAACCTTTTTTCTCCACACTCACGATACCCCAAGGCATCTAACCTTGTACGAGAAAGATGGTGAGTAGAGCTACCTCCCGTCGCGTGGCGTTGCTAATGCTGTTGCTTCCTCGTTCGAAGAGTTATCGCTGAAAAACTAAACTGTGAGCAGACATTCGGCGCGAACTTGAGCTAGCCGCTCTTTGACGTGCATATTTTAGGGTCAACCAAAACTTTTTTCCCTGTACGCACGATACCCCATGGTAGCAGACCTTGGGCTTAAACGAAGGGGCAGAGAGGTGCCTTCCGCCGCGTGGCGTTGCTGTTGTTGTTGCTTGCTCCTTCGGAAAGTTATCGGTGGATAGTGGATAACCAAACCCGTGGCGGCCCAAAACACCGAACTTGAAGTGACCGCTCGCAACCGTTGGCATTTGTGCTTCAACACAACCTTTTTTCCGGCGCATTCGGCACCTCACGGCGCCAAACCTTGGCTTTGCCCAGCAGCCCATGTTACCAGCTCCTTCCGCATACCGTTCTTGAGGCACTCGTTGAGTATTTGGCGAGATGTCAGCTAACACGTTAACAGAAGAGCGCAAAACCCACCCTAGAAAAATCACCGCTTCGCTGCTGGCTCTTCCCCTGGCGTCAGGTCTTATTGATTTTTTGCATCATCTGTCTCCTGTCCTCGTTTTAACAAACACGACCCTCTTTTTTCAGTATTCCACGATGACGCATTTTGATTTTGATTTTGTGCCCATGTGGATTGTGATTTGTGGCTCTTCGTTAATACACGGCCTTAAGATTCTCAAGACCTCCAAGACAACGAAGGGCTTGTGCATATTGCACCCTCTCGCAACGGGTCTGTCTCTCTTTGATGTCATGTCATGGGAAGTGCATCCCGGATATCTAACACAACACACCACACACAATATACCAAAAAGGGATGGATCGTGCGTTTTTTTTTTGGTGCGGCAACATGACCTTCTGGCGGCCCATTGCCAAACATGACGCTCGATCACCACAGGTTCTTTTTTGGAAAAGTTGTAACATTTCGGGTCAAACGCCGAACACGGTTTGACCTCATTCAGTCACGTAGAGTTTGTAGGGGCTACATACGACACAAGTGTTGTCGCTGGTCATGATGAAGTCGCCTAACGTTTTTGGAATGGGCGCGGCGGTTGTCTGGTATAAGTGCAGGGAACAGGCCGTACTCCACTACACACATGGACGCCATCCGTTTCCTTCGCTTGGCGAAAACGCCCCCCTTGTCTCTCCCGCGTTCTGTTGGTCCTGCTGGGCAAGCCGAACACAATGCCATTGCGTACCTTCCTCAAGTCACACTCAAACGTCGATTGTGTCATACTCACCACCGCGCCACGTTAGAATCGCAGGGGCAAAAAAAAACACACTGCGGCGTGACCTCCTGGGTAATCCCGGTTACGTCTGCACCGGATGGTGTGTTTGTATCGGCGCTGGAATAGATGGGACGAACACACGCACATCGCCACAAGGATGTGTTTTACAGTACTGGCGCCGGAATGGATGTGACGAACACACAAAGACCCACCACCACCATCGGATCCTCAGTTGACACACCTCACGTCCCCCCGTGCCTTTCCCCCCAGATGCTCAGCGATGCCGACACCTTGGGCAGCCGGAAAATCTCAGACGGAGCAGCGATACACCTCTTCCAGAGGCCCAAGGTGGCCGCGGCCGCCGCTGCGGGCGTAGGCACGGCCTCCGCGCAGCAACCTGGCAACCTGTATGAGTTCCCTCCGGTGCTGCTACAGCCCCTGGAGAGGGGCGGGGACAGGGAGGGCGCCGGTGCGCACTGGGAAGTGGAGGCCCCGCGACGAAAGATCATGTTTCTGGCTTCAATCTTGGTGCTCATCTCCGTCCTCCAGGTCTCTTCTCAGTTTCATTTGTAGGGAGGCCACTGATCAGAACACAGGGTCCTCTCCATCCTTAAGGTCTCCCAACTTTTTTTTTGAACGAAAACCGTTGATCGGAACACAGAGCAATCTCCATCCTCCAGGTCTCCCCCAAGTTTTTTGTAGCGAGGCCACTGATCAATACACAGGGTCATCTTCATCCTTCAGGTCTCCGAGTTTTTTGTGGGTAGACCGTTGATCAGGAAACAGGGTCATTTCCATCCTCCAGGTCCCCCAAGTTTGTTGGAGGAAGTCCGTTGATCCAGAACACAGGGAGCGAGGAGACGGTGCTTGAGTGTGTTCGTTGAAGAACCAATAACAAGCTTGACGCGTGGACCGGAATCCAGACCTTACATTGATGTCGCTTCCCAGAGTGCTCGTCTCACTGTCGGCCGCATGCTTGTCTCCCCTGGCAGCATCTTGCACTCGCCGCCGCCACCTTTGTATGCAACTCATGTTGATTGACCCCCTTACAGTAGCCTTTGCATGTCTTCCTCTCAAGGAAGCATGTTGGACAAAGCATGCAATTGGGGAAGTTGGGTTAGCGTTAGGGTCTGCGTACCCCCTCCCCGTCCTGTTTCCTCGTACACGTGCGTTCTCGCGAAGGTGCCCCCCCACCCCCCCACCCCCCCACCCCCTGGTGTTTGCCATCGGGGTTGGGTTTTCGTCGCTTGGCAA